TGCGGCCCCGCGGCGGGGGTTGATGGGGTGAAGCAGCTCGTGGGGTTCAGCGCCCTGCTCACCCTCTCTGGGGCCTCGGAGCGTGAGATTCAGATTGAGCTTTTCTACCTCTTGGACCTTTTCCTATTGACTTTCAGGCTTTGTAAACCTCAAGTTGTTTAAAAACTTGAATTAGCTGAACTGAGCCGTGTCTGTAAAGCTCCTCTTGTCACTTCCGACAGATACTGTTCCTGTGGCTGGCTAGGAAAGTCCCCGAGCTAGGATCTGCCTTCACGGCCTCTGTTTTGGAAGAATAAATCTAGTAGACCTATGGGGTTTAGATTTAAGTCTCTATGGTAATAAATCAGAGTGTACCTTGGGATAAGATTCTGAAAGCCTGTATTTAAGGTATCAGTTAAATAAAGTAAAACTTCAATCTGTCCTGCCTTCAGCAGTATCCATATAATTGTTATTAGCTCCTTTTGGAATTTTTTTTGTTTGCTTGTTTGTTTCATGACTCCATCACCTGTGTAAAACTGGAAATCCTTTAAATTTTCATATAGGTATACTTAAGGGAGGAATAAAAAAAACTTTCTGGAAGTATTGCTTAGGCAGTTTCTGAGTATGGGGCTGAAAATCCCAGCAGCTGTTAGTAATCGTGTCTGGGTTATGCCCCCACTAGTGGGTAAGATGGAGAACACGAGGGAAACAGTGCATTAGTAGACAGCATATGGCAAAACAGTGCTGTGTCACTCCCCCAAGCCCAGATGGTGTGCTCGTATTTTTAGCAGGAACTGCTGAAAAAAAAAAAAAAAAAAGAAAGAAAGAAGCTGACGAATGTTTTTTTTGGTAGATGTGAAGAACTTCATGCATTCCAAAGCAGGCTGCTAAGTCATTTCTTCAGATGAGATTTATGTTGTGCAGTTATTTCAGCTATTAAGTGTTTAAGCTAACAATCATTTAATGCTAGTCCAGAATATTTTAGGTGAGCCTGGCTGAGATGTAGCATGGACTAAATCCTTTGTGTAATACTGACAGTCCTGGTGTGTAGATGTCCCAAGCTAGGAGAGTTTATTTCCTCACCGTAGTTATGTACCAGGTGATAGGAGGTGTGGTTTGTGCTGGGTCACTGCAGGAGCCTGTTAGCTGGGGAATTGTTAGGGGGAGGTACTATTTCACTCTTCTGAGATGAAAATCAGCTTTGTAACAGCTGAATATCTCTGGAGATACTCAAGATGCACCTGGGTGAAGTCCTTAGTAATGTGCTCTTGGTGATCCTGCTTTAGCAGGGGAGTTGGGCTAGATGATCTCCAGAGGTCCCTGCCAACTCTGAAAATTCCATGACATCTTAGTTTCAAAGAATGAGTAATTATTTCTTAGGGGCAGGAATGGGTCTTTCTTAGCTTTTCCTAGTGGTGTAAAATTTGACTCAGAATAAAAGAAGGTAGATGAAAGCTATTTGCTGCTGCTTTCCTTCTGGGATGAGAGCTGAGAAAAGGAGTGGCTAGAGAAGCAGGTGCTGGGGATGCAGAGGTGCAGTGGTTGGGGTTGAAACTTTGGATAGCATCCACAAGGGGGGAAACTGGGGTAGTCAATTGGTGCCATACTGGGTCGCAGGCCTTTGTATATTCACTGTTGGAGATACTAGTAGAACTTCTATGGAAAACTTCTCTGCAGTCAGCTTTGGGAGCTGTTTACCACCTAACAACACACTGGTGCCAGAGGACTGGTTTCGTGGTAACCTGTACGTGTCCCAGATGTTTCTCACGAGGTCTCAGATTGAGACATCTTTGTTCCTTTACCAGTGTCCTCCTTCATGGTGATGTCTAATCCACATCTATGTTCTCACTGTGTGATTTACTATGTAGTGAGCTTCTACCTGCCTCTTAGGACTGCTAGGAAGGGTCACTTCCTTGTGTCAAAGGCAGCTAATGACAGAGTGAGCCCCAAGTAAGGAAGAAAATGGTCTGCATTACTCCTTTCATGGGCTCTAGATTTTTGAGGTAATCGAGTTGTTGGGAAACTAGCTCCTTCTTAGCTCTATCCTGTTTAGAGGCTTGAGGCAGAGCAGTTGCCAGTACTTTTCTACCAGCTGAAATAGCGAACTTGTAAATTCCAGTTCTTGTACCATGAGTTTCAGTCAATTGCTCATTGATCCATCCCCAAGAAAGGTTTGAGTTCACATGTACTATCAAACTGAAAACTGTCATGATGCTTATATATGCAGCGGTATTTGGGACACTTGTTGAAAAATCTTCACTTATCACTGGTTTGCAATGTGTTTGCAAGGCAGCCCTGCAATACAGTGGCAACACTATTTTTTCTGTGTCAGAAATACTAGGTTTGGCCAGGGATGGCCACTTAACCAGGAAGGGAGTATCAGATTCATCAGTGGCATCTAGCATACCTTCAGGAGATGGCAAACTGACATCCTTCACCTTAATTTTCTTCTGGCTTGGTGTGGATGTACCTTATTGAAATGGGAAGAGAGGAATAATATACATTTATGTTTCTTTTCTCTGAAAGTAGGTAGGAAAATAGTTGACTTCCCAGAAGTTTTTATAATACCTTAAAAAAAAAAAACCCACTTCAAAAAAACTCCCCAGTGATTTGATAGGCAGGTCTATCTTATTTCTTACTTTTGAATGAGAAATGAACATGCCTGTGCCATCAGACAAGGTATGGTTCATGTGTGGTGTTGAAGCTGCCACAGTTCATGGTCTGAAACAGTCAAGTATTGGGATATTCTCCTTTTTTCACTTCTGGTGTTATCTGAATTTGACAGTAACCAGAAGTGAAAGAAACCACATTTTTTTTAAACTTCTTTTCAGATGGCCAAAGAAGTAATGAAATTGAATTTCTGATTTAAAATATCTGAAATATTTTTCTGCATTTAGTGTTTATTAGTAAGGATCACTGTAAAAAGTGGGGTGACAATTTATAAGCTTTGTTTATTTAGGCCTCTCAGTGACCCTATGAGGGGACTGTATTTTGTTATCCAATGAATGACAAATAGAGGTACATAAATTTTTAGTAACTTTCAGATACTACAGTGAGTTAATGTAACTACCTGCTTTGGAATTTGCAAGTATAAGATATAGTAAATCTGTTAAATCCTGTGATTTATTCTTTTGTTTCTGAAGAGAGAACCATCATTTTACATTTAGTAATAATTAAAACCTAGAGTCTTCCATCCTAACTGTGAAATAAGTAGAGCTTGTTAAAAATTCAGGATATTGTTAGTTGGGTTTTTGTTTAGTCTGTTTGGTTTTTTGCATATCTAGGAAAGTGACATCCAAGAGAAGATCAACTTTGAAATCCGCATGCGAGAAGGCATCTGTAAGCTGCTTGCAGTGAGCACACAGAAAGAGCAGCTCTTGCAAGCAGTTAAAAACCTGATGGTTTGCAATGCTCGGATACACGCCTACAGGAGAGAGCTACAGAACCAAAGAGAAGAGTCCATCTCCTGCAGGACCCAAGAACAGTGAGTAACAGTTCCAATTCAAACTGAGCATTATGAAAAGGGCTTTTGCTTATGTTAATTCTTAGCAGCCTCTAGGAAAAGTGGATTTAAACCGTTCCTTCTGTCTTATCTAATACAAATATAGATTACTGCAACCTTAAAACATTGTACAACCATTCCACCATCTTCTTTTTACTTTAGAAAATTAAATACAAGTAATTTTTCTGGGTAGATCTTATTATTGACGTTGAACTATAACTCAGCATCTGAATATCAGATAACAGAACACATTTTCTTGATTGCCTTTAATATACAAAAAGATACCTAACCAAATCTGAAGGAACAAACCAAAACTATCAAAGTTGGAATACACCTATATCTACTTTTGAGCCATTCTCTTGTTATAAAGGTCCCATTTAATGATGGAATTTTCGTGGTTAATTGGTACCCTCTGCTGGCGACTTCTGTTAACTACAGAAAAATAATAAAGACCACAATAAATACGAAGAAAAATCACTTTAATTGAAAATATTCTAACCTTGTAACTCTTGAATGAGCTGACGTATGTGTGTTTTATTTGAACAATGTTACAATTTTTTGCCTAATAGAGTATTTTGAGTGCAATGTTGAGAACCATGATGCAGAGACACTATTACTTTAATGAAATACTGTATTGCAATTTAGCATAGAAACTCTTTGAGTACACACTTAGCTCCAGTTACTTGTACCTGTAGAAACAGTCCTGCTACTTTATGCTTTCTGAAATGTCAACTTATAGGATCAATTTATTGAAGGAAATAACTGCATTTTCTGACTGTATGAACAATTATATTGAAAGCTGAGTTTGAATACTAGCACTTATTGCTTGTGATATCCTGCATTTATTGCAGTTGTATTGTTTTTTCCTACTATGATGAAGACCTTTATGCTCATTCATCTTTTATTTATGTTTTTAATGGTGGAATTGTATGAAGTATGTATATATGCTGATTTACTCAACTCTTGCTTGATGTCAGTGACCACAGAATGGTGATGGCACGTGTCCAGTACAGGGCAGAGATACTTGGAGTTTGGTCTGAACAGCTGTATTATTTACTTGATGTGTGTCTGTTGTATGTGCTTAGAGTTCTGTCTTAAGGGGTACTTTGAATTGTCAGTGGAGGTCAGCAGAAGAGATGAATGCTGTAGAGTCACCTCTCTACCATGTAGGTCACATCTTTTGATCTGTGAGTTGACTGCATTTGCAGTTCTTTTTCCAGTGTTTGCTCAAGACTGAAATATGGTTTAAGTTTAATCCAGATAAAATGATGATGGCTTAGAGAGAAAAGTGAGTTTTCAAGTGTATTTTGTCCCATTTCTTGTTAGCTAGGTCTGTAATCTGTTTGTTCTGAAGATATTATAACTGACCCCGGAAGTCAGGATATTGGTAGCAGCTAGAAATTTTACTTTCAGCTTATTTGGTTAGGAGTTAGGAGCAGTGGGAGGCATAAAAAGAGCACTATTGTTACTTATTATCACAGATTGCTTTGATACAATTTAAGATTGACACTCTGGCTACTTAGCAAACTCTGCCTGCATGTAAAATCACAATATTGACGCTGCAACATTTTGTAATTGGTCTCTGCTTATAGAGGAGGAGGCAATTCTCTAACAAATAACAGAACTGATAAAGTAAGTTGCTTATTCACGGATGTCTACAGAGGGGGAAAAAATTGATAATGTGATTGTATTAGAGCTGGAAAAGACAAAGAAGATGAATCTACTTGTCTTCTAATACCCAGGTTAAATAAGCTTTGGAGAAAAACCTTCTAAGGAATTAAGAAAATTTATGGTGTACCTTCCTTCCAGGTTATCCTCAAGAATCTAATGACTCATATATTAAACCAGAGATACCAGACTTAACTTTAAAGAAAAGCATTTGAAAGAAGTTATAATAGGAAATCCTGACACTTTAATGTTTAAAGGATTGAGTTTTACAAGTTTAAATGCACAGCTCTCAAACCTCATTTTTCTGCTCTTCTTTTTGGCAGGTCTTCAGTAAATGGGAAAAAAGACCGAGTGGCATGCAGAGCAAAGGTTGCTATATCAGGTAGGTGGCTGGGTAGTCACTTGATGATATGAGTTAGTTGGCTGGACAGTATCTTGTAATACAAATAATTCAAACAAGGTGGTATTTTTAAAATGTGTATGTGATTCAGGGATGTAAATCCTTTGTGCTTCAAAGGGATTTGTGCTTTTAAGTCACACCTGTGCTTTTGCAGATCCTACCTAGTATTCCCATTTTACTTTCTGGGCCTTTCACAGTGGGAGATACTTTTTTCTGGTTGTCGCTAAACACTGAATATATTTCAGCTAAATAAGTAGAAATGTGCTGATAACTTCTTTTTCTCCCCACAAAGACAAACTTCTATCATATGGGACACGTCTAACAAACTGAGTGCAGAATTAGAGCTTGTATGTAAATATTATTTAATGCAGGTTACGTTACTGCAGTAAAATAACAGTGGTATGGCTTCAATGCAAACAGTATTTAACAGTGATTTCCAGCAGGCTGGTACACTATTTTCCTAGCTTGTTCTCAAACCTCAGCACTGTGGATGTATCATCTTCTTTGCCTGTGCCAAAAGTGGATGTTACTTTGTTCAGCATTCCTGTAGTTGTTCATTCTTGCTGTTCTGCTGCCTTTGCTAACAGATCTGTGTGTGCTCCCTGACTTGTCTTGTTAAAAATAAAATAGTGTAGAAGAACTCACTACTTAAGCTGTTACAGTTAATTCTGCATATTTTGACATATCTTTAAGCAAGGTAACTTATACTAGGAGAAGAGTGATGAGCACATGGTTCAATAGTGTTTTCTGCCAACACAGCTGTTTGCAGAATGTGTCTGTTTTTCCTCCTTATGGCAGTTGGATGAAAGCATCTGTTTGCCTGTCTGTGCTGTGGTTGCACCTTTCTTGGCATTTACAGTTATCTGCAGTGAAGACTTTAGGATCACACAGTATGCTTTTGTTATTTTTAGAAAAATCATGATTGTGTAAGAACTCAATTTTGAGTACAAAAAAATTGTTTAGAATATGAAACGTAGCAATGGTATTTTGATGGAACAAGGGAACAGAAAGGTGAAATCCACCACTTCCTATGACATGCCATCTGTTAATGGTTCTGTCCTGCTCCTAACTTGGTGTGTCTTGAACAGGAGGTTAATACCCTAAGAAATATGGTGTAGATGGAGAGGCATCAACTGCCTCCTTCTGAACTCCAGTCTGTGCATGTGGGGACGCCCTGCTTCAGATACTTGTGTCAGGAAGCCTGGCTTTCTTCTTGGCCTCTGTGGAGAGATTTATGCTTTCTATAGATCACCTATTTTTAATTCCTTATTTTCCACGCTGTGTGCCCGAGAAGCAGAGGACTGGGGTACATGAGAAGTAATTGTGGGGACAGGCTATTTTTGTGCTTGGCAAGGACAGGAGCCTCTGGACAACAGGTGTGTCTAGGAGATCCTGGGATGACTTTGACACACACGTCTCTGGTTCCTCCTTGCGTTGTCCCATTACTCTGTGTCCATTTTGCATGCCAAATCAGGTTGTGTCTGCTTCCACAGCTGCAACATGTTCACATCTGTAGCATCCCATTATTCTTCTCTCCCAGACCTTGTGTAGCATGTTGGGCACACATCATTTCCCCTCTTTAGGAGGTTAATACCCTAAGAAATATGGTGTAGATGGAGAGGCATCAACTGCCTCCTTCTGAACTCCAGTCTGTGCATGTGGGGACGCCCTGCTTCAGATACTTGTGTCAGGAAGCCTGGCTTTCTTCTTGGCCTCTGTGGAGAGATTTATGCTTTCTATAGATCACCTATTTTTAATTCCTTATTTTCCACGCTGTGTGCCCGAGAAGCAGAGGACTGGGGTACATGAGAAGTAATTGTGGGGACAGGCTATTTTTGTGCTTGGCAAGGACAGGAGCCTCTGGACAACAGGTGTGTCTAGGAGATCCTGGGATGACTTTGACACACACGTCTCTGGTTCCTCCTTGCGTTGTCCCATTACTCTGTGTCCATTTTGCATGCCAAATCAGGTTGTGTCTGCTTCCACAGCTGCAACATGTTCACATCTGTAGCATCCCATTATTCTTCTCTCCCAGACCTTGTGTAGCATGTTGGGCACACATCATTTCTCCTCTCTTGAATGCAGACCCTCAGCGGACATGCAGGAGCAGTTGCCCTGTATGTGTTGCTTACATGACAGGGCGTGTAGTTTAAGAATTGAAGACGTAGATTGGATTCTTTTAGGGGGAAGTAATCCACCCACCAACAAATGAATTAGTCTGTCATATGGTTAGTACGTGCCAGAAGCTCAGACTATTACCAAAAAAAGTGTGATCATGTGACAACACCAAAAGGTCAGTTTTTTTGAGGAATTTTCTCCTACAGAAAGCAACCGGATGTCAGATACTGTGTGGGGTGTGCATTCCTTAATCCACAGATTTTCACACTTACTTATTGCCCATGTGTATGCATAAATTGTGTAATTGATCTTATCAATCCATTATTTTGTCAGAAGTCAATACATTAAATGTTGATCGAAAAGCACAATCGTAATTTAAAGTAATTTTAGAAAGAAATAGTTGGCTTTAAAGTTAATTAATAGGAGTGCTTGAATGTGTGCCATTTTAATCCACAGCTAATGGTAACTGAAGTGGAGGTGTGTGAAAATTACTCTGTGTTTTGGATAAAAGGCAGCTCTTTCAACCCAAGAGTTAGTTGAAAACTGATTTACAAGTATCACGTTAAACTTTTTCAAATGATTGACTATCTATATCATGAAAGTTTTCTAAGGTGTAATTTTTTCAGCTAGCAGGATATTGAAAGTGGCACATGGAAGCAATCTTTAATCTAGTACTTGGATTGTTAACAAGACCTACTGAGTGCATGAAAATTGTCACTCAGATTTTGCAGTGATTAAAGATGGAAAAAAAAGCTTTTATTGTAACCATTTTCCCATGTTTGTGTATGTCTTTTAGGAAAGAAACATTCTGGGCTTTGTCTCTGACAGAGAAATGTGTATATATATTTTTAAAGTTCAAAAGTGACTTCTGTAACTGTTTTGCTGAAACTGTCTCTGTTTCCTTATTTAAAAAACATTACTATTTTTGGCAATGCTTGCCGTGCAAGTACATCAAGTGAAAGGCAGTTTCAGAATGTGGTGACTTATTGATTTTTTGGAAGTTGTGGCAGTCCAAAGCTGTGTACTGGCAGTTCACTGTTGAAAATCCATTAGTTTTCACAAACACTTAAAAGAGATGAATTTGCAAGTTTCAAGATAGAAAGAGCATGTAGAATAAGATGTCCTATAACATAATAAAATTGACTTAAATTTAATTTTTTCTATTCAATATAACTTCTGAAGTAGAATGTCTATATGGAATTTCACTTAAATAATGGAGTTTTATGCATAAAATGCTTTTGGAATACGTCAGTCTGTAGCCAAACTACCACTGCTGTTTTGCATCTTGGCATAGGATACATGGATTTTTCCATCAGCCTTGTATGAAGATCAGCACCAGAGTCAGCAATGCTCCTTTGTAACAATATTGAAGATTTTTATCAAAAGACAGTTGAGCTAGTGCTGTTCACTGCTGCCATCATGTGTCACTTAATATATTGCATATACATTTATACAACACTGTGTTGTACTTAATAAACCACCTTTGGATTTCTAAAGCCCCTACTGCATTTGTCTTTTAACAAGGGACTAATAAAAAACATGATGATTGAACTTGAGTCCTTGAAACTAGAGGAAAATGTCACTCAGTACTGTGTTGGATTGGGTAGATGAATTGGAAAATCTGTGGAATACTCTCCTAACATTAAAATGACAGGCATGACTCAAAATAATGGTTCTATAATTGCTTCTCTACTACAGCTCTGATGTAGAAGGATATTTTCAAGTTTTAAAAAAAACCAAACAGATTTCTAAACTCCTTTTTTATGCCAACTAAGACAATTCTAACTGGGAATGTGATTGCAAGTGGTATTTTTTCTGTGGTTAGCAAAACAAAGCTTAAGTAGTTGCAGTATAAGTATTCTAGTCATTTCCACTAAAACAGGAATTTTTTCTTCTTGCAGTTGGATGAGTGATTTCCAGCACAACGGAAGCAGGGTTTCAGTTTATGTCTGTGCATAATAATAGGCTCAGAACCTCTGAGTTCTGAGAATACCACTTGGAACTATGTTACAAAGCCACTCTGAAAGGTTATTTCAGATACTTTCAAATTAGATTTAAAATATTCTTTATCCTAGCATAATTATAAAAGAAAATAACATTTCACATTGAACTAATTTATGAAATTTCTTTTGATATGGATAATAAAATTGAAATAGTTATGCTGTTCATTAGGTAGAAGGTCGTGTTACCTCCAGAACATCAGGAAAAGGAAAAAAGAAACTTTAAAATTTGTTTTGATCACAGATCTACAGTACTGGCTAGAACTTAAACTTCTCTACTTTTTTCTTCCCTTTAGATATTCGAATACCGTTAATGTGGAAAGACTCTGATCACTTCAGCAGTAAAGAAAGTATGTAATAAGCTACTGTGATAAGCAATTGCTTATGCCTGTAAATTTAAACTGGATGGGGAATCCAATACTCATTTCAGCCCCTTCTCTGACCTTTCAGTAGGTCCATATTTTACTGTCTGTTTTGTAGTTGCTCTTAACTTGAAGTTGTTGGTTGTAGCACACTGAGTTAGTTGAAAGTCCCATAGTTCTGTACTTTTAAATCATAGTCTCTCGTCAGTCCTTCTGAGGAGAAATTCCAGAGGAAGTAACAGAAAATTGCTGTTATTAAATGGATGGCTGAGAAGTTTTTTATTAAGTATGTTGTTCTATGTCTTGTCCACACTTGAGAGAGGCTGTTTCCAGTGAGAAATTTAAATGAAAGTTGCCTGTTGGTGTTGAATGGATTATTGGATAGTCTTCAAGTACATGCATTTTGCTGTGTCATGGAGATTAACCCGAAATATGTTCCAGCTGTCACCTGACATTGATTTCACTTTGATTTTCAATGGGGTCAGAGGGGCTAAGCGTGGCAAAATAGTTTAATCCTGTATAATTCTTTCATAAAACGGTACAGGCTTTGGATCAAATATTTGAGCTTTTTTTTCTTAAAATCAATTTTATTAAGCAAAATAGCATTTTTACTAACATTTCTGAAGTTGCTAGCACAAACTACCCTGATTATCATGAAAAAAACCCAACAGTGGAACAGAGGTAGGCACTTCTCCCTCTGCAAATGTTGTTCTACCTGTAGAGCAGCTTTGATAGTTTAATTATCATAAAGTCCTACAATATAAAATTTGTGGTGAGAAGAATTTGAGGGCAGTTCTTTAGAGATCTGAGTGACCCTTTCCTCTACTTTAGTTTACTGGAAGCACTTGATATCATGATGTGGAATATGGCTAATAAAGCACTTCTCTGACTCTCTCCAGAATCGCAGCGCTATGCGGTGTTTTGTTTATTCCGAATGGGAGCTGAGGTTTTTGATACAGAGGTGGCTGTGGTGGATAAAGCAGTGACAGATATTTGCTTTGAAAATGTGACCATATTGTGAGTATCATTTATTTCTCTTGAATGACATGCAAATATTGCTATTTTCATTTGAAAGTGGATATGATTGTGAGTAAGGTTGGCTGAGATACACTAAGTTTTACTGTGGGCAAAGGAATTGAGGGTCCTGTTAATTTGCATGAATGGTGGATCCTCATGTCTGGAAAGTTTGTTTTTATGTACAAAATGATGCTTGTTGTAGATGTGTTACTAGAACTTCTTTATGTTTTTACCATGCTGAAGCATTTTTCTTTATGTAAAAAGATAAACAAACTTGTATCTCAAGAATTGAATGAAATGAATACTAAAACCTGAAAGCATGAGTGTTGCACCCGGTGTTCTAAGTATTGTTCTGTACAGCAGGCTATAGTCTCTTTTGATGTGCTCCTGTGACACAGTTTTCTTAAAAACAGACATCCTTTCCACACCTCATGTTCTGTTACACTTCTATGAGCATGTGCTGCAGCCATAGTCCTTACAGTTGAACAATACTAGACAGGAAATTATTCACTTATCTGCAAAGGTAACCTGGAAAAGAGTAGAAAGGTGTTCTCATAAACTTTTTAGTTGCTTTATAATTTTAAAGAGAGTTCTGAGAGGCACTTAGTTATTTTTTTTTTTTCTTCCCTGCTTTATTTTTTTTTTTCTTCCCTGCTTTATTTTTTTTTTTCTTCCCTGCTTTATTTTTTTTTTTCTTCCCTGCTTTATTTTTTTTTTTCTTCCCTGCTTTATTTTTTTTTTTCTTCCCTGCTTTATTTTTTGTATTAGCAATTTAGATCCAGTCTCCTGAGGAAGACTGACTGGAAAACTAGAACTACTGAAAACTTAGAATCAAGATCCTGAAAACTGAGTGCTTGAGGGAGACTAGGTCTTTAAATTAGATTTTAAACTCTCTTAGCCACCTGTTCAAGTTAGGAGTGGGGGCAAAGATGTAACTCTTGACCATCATAGTTTTCTGTGAAAGACTGCAACAAAAGCAGAAAAGGCACTGTCACTTGCCTTGTATCCTCCGAGATAAAGATAGATGTTTAATAAGAGCATTTGGGATGATTTTGTTCTGGGCATGTGTGTAATGCCATGATTTGTAACTGAAAGATGGGGTCAGGCACCTGGCTTGATGAATAAGCTTGAGAACGTGAGAATGGGTAGAACTGAAAGCAGAGAAAGCGCTGGCTGGGGACAGAACACAGGCAGTTGAATTATGAATGACAGATTTTGGTGGCTGGAAGTGAGACAATGTTTTCAGCAGAGTGAAGGGGATGAGGTATCTTAGAACAGTTCAATCTGATTTCAGGCCATAGGCACGGCTGGGTTTCCCATCGTGTGATTTTCATGTAACAGTAGAGGGAAGATTGAAGTGTGCTTGAATGTTTTGCCTAGTTGTTTTTTTTTCAGTTTTTAACCTAAACATTGAATTTCCTGTTTGCAGTTGTTTATGGTTAATTATAACATCCATCTCATGACTTCAGCACTGTTATGGCTGTGTAATCTACTCTCTAATTCCATATAAATGCATGTCTTTGCCTGAATCTGATGACATTGCTTCCTTTGATTAGCCTATATGTTATTTAATACATATAGTAGCAACAGGATTCTTTGGCTGCATACTCAGTGTATTAACAAATGCTTTGAAATTTTCTCCTCCCTTCTTCAGTGATGAAGCAAGACCAGATTTCCAGGTGAAGGTTGAAGTGTATAGTTGCTGTACAGAGGAGTCTTTATATGCAACAAACACTCCTAAGAAACTAGCGAAGAAGCTTAAAACATCCCTCAGCAAAGCTACAGGGAAGAAACTCAAAGCTGCTCTGGAAGAAGACAGCACTGAATCCCTTTTGTCTCCTGACCCAGTCATCCAGTAAGCCATATTTATATTGATACTCTTGTTTTATAATTTTTAAAATAGAAATAAGTCAAATATATTGTAAAGTTTTGGAAAATTCTCAAGACAGTGAGTATTTCTGTACTTGCCTGAATGTAAAAAAAAATAATTTACATTTTAAATAGGAAATGAGAAGGTAGGTGTGAATTCAACCATGTTGCTCAGCCTTGGGGCCTGGCTCTGATCTTGAAACACACGAGTAGGCTGTATCTTTCTGCTATACAGCAAGCTAGCTGGTAAATCCACTGCTGCTTACAAACTTTATAATATTTTTTAGTTTGATCTCAGGAGGAAATCAAGCTTGTGTGATCAGTCTGTGCCCCTCTGTCCATCTACCTCTCCTTCTCCTTCTCCCATTTCCTCCCTTCTCCATATTAATTTTTGCACCTAACCAGTTTGGCTCATACTTGACAGACAGGTAGACATGTCTAAAAGTTACAAGTTGTGTGAAATAAGAAAGTGTGGTATGTAAGCAGGAGAAAGCTCTGTGGTACCCTGCCCCCAGCAAAGCTGTTTGCTGTGCCTGGGGCATGTGCTGTGCACATGGGGCCATTCCAACTTGCTGGCTTTTGAGTGAAACTCTGAACTTTCAAAAGCCACTTTACAGCTACAAGCTGCTTAACAGGAGTTTTCTTAATTGACTTTAGCACAGAACATGTTAAAATTCCTTACTGGTTTTCAGTCTTCATAGAAATAAGTGCTGTTCCCAGTAATTTACCTGTTTCCTTTTAAAAATGGTCTTAAGTCTTTAATGCATTTTCTAATTAAGTTAACTGCCTGCTAATATTTACCAGCTACTTTAATTTCATTGGGATTTATTCAGGCCAGGTACTTAAACTGTAAATACTAACAATGATTTTTTGTAAAAAAAATTAAAAAATTAAAAACCAATTTTTTCAATAAATTACTTTTTTTTTTTGGAACAATAAAGAATCAATGCCTAATTCTTACCAGGTGTTGAGTGCAATGTTAATCTGGCTTCATATATTTGCCTGGATTTTAAAAGGAAACAGTCAAGCATGTTGTGTCTGTGTCTGATACTACTGTATACTGATAGTACTGTTTCAATCAAAAAGACACAGCCAAGAGATCTTACCCACAGAGCAAAGCAAATGTTGTCACTAACTTTCCAGTGTATTCCACCTCATGACCATGTATTTTCACTCTGTGTCATCATCTCAGGTGGCTGTGCTTTCCCAAGCTCCAGCAGGGTGATGACACACTGTCATTAGATACACTTGGCTTCAGATATAACCACTAGTTTATTTGCTGGCCATACCAACTTGAATATAGATTGCCTGTCTTTTAAGGAAGAGGCATCAGTAGACAATCTAAACAGCTGCCTCCTCCCTTGGGTTTTGCTTTTGGTTTCTCAATTGTAATTGTATTTTGCTTTCCTCCGCCTTTAAGTTTGGTGTTTCTGCAGTAAATAATCATCTCACACTGACTGTTACTTTCTTAGCAGAGGTAAATGAACAGTGATGTGTTTATCGATGATGTTGCTAGGTGATTAAAAAAAGATTCTTGGAAAGAAGTAGGTTGTTGTAAGCAAAAATAAATTGTGAATTTATTTTTAATAGGCTCCCCTTAGGCTTTATATGAGTAAGGCCTCGGTATGTAACCCTTACAGGGGGAAGAGGGATTGCAAGATTACAGGAGATCTTTCCAGTATTCCCAGAGAGTTTTACCAGTCCAGTAGGTGAAATTAAAATGCAACAAAAAGGGAGACTTTCTGCTATATGAGCACCTTTTCTCTGTAGATATCAGTTGTACAGACTTTTTTCTTTTCAAAGCACACATAGGACAAAGTTTTCAGTTTCCAAAAACTGACCCATTGTGTCCACCTTCTTGGCTTGCAAATCTCCCTGGTTAGTGAGGAAACTGTCAGCCATGCAACTTCTTGCAAAAGCTTCATGACAAAGTGCCATGCTTAGGTTAGTTAACTTCAGTTTAACTGATATTCTCTCTTCTCAAATATCTCTCTTTTCATTTATATACAGACTTGGGCCTGATTAATTTTTCTATTCTAGGGTAGTGGGGTTTTTTTTGTTCATTGGTTTGTTTTTTTTCTGTTTTTATATTTGTTGTAGAAGGAAAATGTTTAGTGCAGATCTACTATTGAATTCCAGAGTGAATAGGTTGCTCTTGGGAGGCATCATTGGAGAGACTCCCTGAAGTGCATGTTTATTCACTGGCAGAACTGGCCTCCACATGGACTTGTTATTATTGCCTTTTATGTATTGTCTTCCAGTGGGCTGGAGGCACGGCTTCCGTGTCCTCTGTTTGAGTTGGCAAATCCATACTGGTATTTTGCTACAACTGCTTAGTCTAATGAGTTATTTTTACTGTTGGGCTCTTTTTAGAACCCAAATGTCAGATATGTATTTATCTCCCATTATTAATATTAGATTTATTTATTTTTTTACTCACAAATCCTCCACTCTATATATCTGGATGACTGAACTGAGGTTGGGATTTGTAACACTGGGAACAATATTCAGGAACAGATTCTGGAATCCGAGATGCATTAATTAATATGTGTCGATAGAAAGGGTGATACGGTTACACCTTCCCACGCCAGTGTCTGTGTGGCAACTTTGGTGCATCTGTCTCCTGATCAGTAAACAGATTTAACAATGAACCTTTCCCACAGGCATGTTGTGGAGATGAGCTGATTTTTTTTTTTAATAAACTTATTACATGGAAAAATACTATAGATATGCAAAGTACTGAATGAGATGCAACAGGCAGATTGTTCTTTGTTATACAAAGAAACTGCTATTTAAGGCAGACAGCTAATTCTGTGAAATGCAGAAGCGCAAAACATAGTCAACAATCCTGACTAGCCAGTTAAATTTGAAAAACACTTGCAGATAAAACTTTTCCAAATTATTTTGCAGCTGGCTGAAAGGAATGACTGTTATGTTTTAGAAAGAAAATGTTCTGTGAAAGCATATTTTAAAAGTGAAGTAGCTATTTTTTTTGGCAAGGTTGTTGTGGTAATTAGTCATGCTTTAGAAAAAAAGTAACTAAAATCAGCACAGAAGTTTTATCTGTGAGAAGAAACTGAACCTGGTTCAGTTTCAGTGGAATGGTAAATGTATTGTCCAACTCCATGGCAAAATACAATCAGTGGAGAATCTTTTGTTAGGGAACAGTCTAGCAGGGTATTTATACAAATGCTGGTGAGTCTTTGTTCAGGTTGCACTGACAAAATATTTCACAGCAGTGGTTCTTCACCCAGGATCTTATCTTGTATTTAATTTATTCTTTATTCCCGTGAAATAGATGTGTAACAGACATCCCTGCTAACAATCTTGCTGCAGGTAGGCATCTGCCTTGTTCCTCTGTGGAGCCAAAGATTTTATAACCTATGTTCTCACTGTGCTATTTGGAAAAACAGCACTTGACAAATACTATGATAGAAAACTATATTTTAGTGCTATTAATTTAGTAGTATCTTCTCACCTATAACACCACTAAGCATCTTATGCTGTACTGAAGATATTTTAAGGTTCTTTTCCTAGGTCCTGTTCGGGAGAGTAGTTAGTGATTTTGGGGGATTTGTTGTCATTTGAACTTTGTTTAAACTGCCGTTAGCCAGGTGGAATTGCTTCTGCACTGCTGGGCTGTAAATCTGTTACTTGGTCTAAAAAGTATTTGGGGGAAAAGGTTAAACATGTACCAAACTTATGCTAGTTTATTCCAAGAACTGCGTTCCACGTGCACTGTGCTGAACTGCAAAAGTGATTTTTTAATTTTTATCCCTAGGCAAAATACAAGTCAAAGATATAACATTCTGAAGCCTGTAAGCACAATAAGTGAAAGAGTCCTTTATGCTACAGTACTGACTAGGATTTCTGCACAGATTCTTGTCTGTGTGCAAATAAGCTATTGGAATCTATTAAAAATACATATATAAACAACTGTTCAAAAGCGTAGGCTACACAGACAAAGGAAAAGAGCAGAGCAACATGGAGGAGCATTATAAAGCCTAATTTTTAACCTGTATTTTCAGATTAAGTTTATGTCATCAGTTGTTCTTTTAACTGTAGTGATTTTTGAACCTCTTATCAAATCTGATTAAATTAGGCCTAGGAATAAAAGCTGCAAAACTATTAAAAGTTACTGGGCATCTGACAAGAGGTGGGAGATACTTTTAGCATCTTTAGAGCACAGAGAGCTTGGGAAGCAGAACCCATATGCCTGGGGCTGGCAGTGGCTGGCTCACCAGTATGTGTGAGCCCAGCTCATAGGCGGTGGCCACAGGAGAAGTCTCGTGGTTGGCAGGTCCAGGAGAGGTGGCTGTGGAGAGACCAAAAGCTGCTGAGTTGATGGGGCCTTGCGGTGCTGTCCTGGGCAGCAGAGCCTGGAAGTGGTGGGGTGGGAGACAACAGGAGGTATGCACAGGATGGAGTCAGGAGATCAGGATATAGGAAGCAGATCAATGGATTGTGGGGCAGTGTTGGTTTACAAGGGAAAACACAGATACAGGAATTCTGTGTGAAGAGTTGAGGGGTGGCAATCTGTGGTCCCTGACAGATGCTGCCTGGCATCTCGGCATTACTTGTTCCCAAATGTATTACCTTGAGCAGAAGACCCCTTTAATTACAGCATGAGCAACATGAAGCAGAAATGTCTTAAATGTGCTTTTTCTTCCCTACTTAGTGGAGCAAAGTACAGCCTGCTGGCATATACCACTTTGGGACTGGAAAGTGCTGAGGACAACTTCAGGACCCACAATCTTACTGTTACTGGAAATGGTAAGTACATATGGTACCAATTTAAGGAAATAAAAAACCAGTAACTTTTTGCATTTCTCTCTCGTAAACTGAAGAGCTTAGAGAGATTATTTTTCTTGATACTTAATACAGAACAACTTTAATAAAATATTTAGCAGCTCTAAAACAAGCATCTGTACACAGCTGAGTAAACTATAAGTTGAGTAAAGTTTTAAGTCCAGATAAAAATGTTATTCTTTGGGGAGTTTTTTCTGTCATTTGCATCTCAGTCTTATCTGAGTTGTAGCTATATACAAATTATTTACCCTTCCTCACAGCAAAGGAAGGGAATCAGAATGGAGAACAGCTTTTTTCCTTTGTAGTCAGAACCCAAATAGACAAATAGCTTCAGTTCAGTTCAGTTGTTTCAGGCCCAGATTTACCCCAGGACATTGCATGTATGTGTTGGTTCCTGTGCTTCAGCTCTGGGACTGCACAAGTTGGCAGCAGTCAGCCTAGATGCTAACAGATGGACTATGATGATGCTGCAACTGAAGGTGATGTTCAAGTAGCAGAAGTACAGTTTTTGATACTGGCCATTATTTTCTGAAAGGACAGACCATCCCATAAGCCACCATCTCATTGTAACCTTAAGACATTGGACTTTCACTGTATTTCACTGTAGCTTCTGGGAACTTTTATCTTTTACTTAGATAAACTTGACCTCAAAGAGAATCTCGTTATTTACACTTCATTAATTCTGAATAAATTTGAAGATTTATGGGGCATTTGTTTCTTGAAGGGTTGGATGAATAATTCGGAGTATCTTTGATACTTTAAGCCCTTCTTTATTAGTACTTTATACTCTTTTTTCAAATTTCTTTTTCTGCCATTAATTTACAAAATGCAGTCTGCTAAGAAATTACATACCTGAATATTTTGGTTCATTACAAGTGTTTCTAAAACATGACCAAAGAGAGTCATGTCAATTAGATGTTGTATTACCTGCTTCTAATTACAGAAGAGAGAGCGTATTTCCTAGAAGAGCTGAGCAGGGAGGGATATTGCAATTCATTAGAAACTCCTTGGAATCCTAACTGGTGCTGAAGATAGAAGCAGATACAAATTCTAAGCCTTAATAAAATAATATGAAGAGAAACACTCGTGTAACTTCCAGTGCACTTGCCTTTTAAAATGTTTCTAGCTGTGAAACGAGATTTAGAACTATTTTTATGTAAGAACAACTTGGTTTCACAGAACAGGATCTCTGTTTTTACTTGAAATTATTTTGGAATTTTTTTTTAATTAAAAAACTTACTGAAGGCTCAATCAGTTTTAATAAAATCTTTCAGGATGAAGTATCTTTAAATATATAAAATATATATATATTTACATTCACAATCCTAATGTAAAAATGAATGTAGAAAGCTATACTAGTTATTTAGGGCACATGTTTGGAGCTAAGTGTATGTCTTTTGCCTGGTCTTTTCCCCCAGAGGAATCCTCTTTTTGGCTGTCCCTGTATGGAAACATGTGTTGCCGTTTAGTTGCTCAGCCATCCTGCATGGCTAGGGATATGATGGCAGGATTTCTTAATCAGCAGGTAAGATGACCTTGCTTGTGTTTAGATCCTCTTCTGGTAATAGCTGTCACTAAGAATCAGTTGTTAAAACATTTGCTTGTACCTGAAGTGGTTCCTTGAGAACTGTTATTTTCTACCTGTTCTACCTAGAGGAAGGGGAAAATTCTTTCTCACAAACAGGATCTTCAGTGGCTAAGCATCGAGAAATAAATGTTTCCTTGGTGTGCTTATCAATGCAATTATTTAGGCTGTTACATAAAGGTCAAGTGTAGTTGTTTCAGAATCAGTTTAGGCGGGTGCTTGATGGCAGCACTCTTAATAATTCTGTGGCTCTCATCCTTGTACCTGCCTCTCAGTGAGCAAGCACAAGAGTTCATATCACAGCATGGTGAATTTGACTGGTCAAGCGAGCCACATTTAAACTTACCCCATCAAAAACTATTCATGTGAACTCAGTTTACATCTCTATTTTGGTTCATTGCACAACTAGGCAAACAAGAAGGTGATAGCAAAGGGCCAGAGAAGCTGGGTTATTTATCAGGAGTGCTGAATTATGTTCTTTAAACTGGTGATGAAACTATAATGCATTTATGAAGGCTGTTCAGAAAATTAATTTGAGAAAGTGGAAATTTTAGACAAATGTCTTTGTTTGATATTTTTTGAATGTAGCTTGTATTTCCAAAGTGAGATACTCTCTGTATTTCTCTTATTGTGTAATTACTGTAGCTAAAAAGGTGGTTTCTTTCTGACAGTAGACACCAGTTTTAGATTGCATTCTGTGTGAACCCACAGATTCTATTGTGTCACATGGCAATAAATCTGTAAAAACTGTGAAAACCAAAAGACATTTAAAGTATTCTCAACATTTCAAAAATTAGTGACTGTGAAAAGTTCTGCAAAAGAAAGTGTTTTAGGAAATAATTCAGTGTGGCTAAGTTTTGATCCCACAGGGCTGATCTGTGTATACCTTGTAATATACTCTTAATTTGTAGTTTATGTTTGGCAATTTCTGACTTTTCTTCCCCTTAGCAAACGGTAGGAAGCCTGACTAGCTGGAGGAGGCTGTACTGCATACTAAGAGGGGGCAAGCTCTTCTGCTACTACTCGCCAGAAGAAATTGAGGCTAAACTGGAGCCAGCCTTGACAGTTTCCATCAACAAGGTAAAATTGCCTCTATGAGGCAGGTTTTTAGTTTGGGTTTTTGTTTATTTTGTGGAAGGTCATTTTTGTTTCAAGACATACCTACAGTCATTTGTGCTCCAAGCTGCTGGATTGCAGTATGTGTTATAGGTAGTGTATGGGTGGGATATGCTTCCATAAAATTTGCAATTGCTGAATTTTTTAGCAAGGGCACTACATTTCTTAGCTCAGTTCCTTCTATTGCATTAGACTGGTTAACACAGAGGTAAAAAGGAAGATGTTTTTCTTTAGGAAAAGGGATAACTTGTTATATGACTATTCAATAAGAGCCCTTGGAAACATACTGCCTACAAATCCTTAGCAATGCTCTAGCAGACTTTTGTCCTCAGCAAGGTAGAATTTTAACAAAAGGTCTTTTGTTGTTGTGTGTTATTTGGCCACAGTCTTAATTAGAAGGAGAGCTGGAAAATTGTTCAAAATACTTTAGTGCCTTAAAATAAGCTACTTTTCTTAATACTGGTTTTGTACAGGACACAATAACTTTGGAAGTTCTGTTCCCTAGAATAACATTATTGCTGCTTTTCATACCCTGATTGGAAAGGCTGGGTTCAAAACTTGAAATTAACATGTTACTTACTATTTAGTTAAAGAAATTCTAAGTAATTAATGTTAAGTAAATCTTTAAGTGTTCGATTTAGGAATGTTATTGGAAGGACCTTGTATAATGGTGAGCTTTAGAATGAAGAGATGCTTTCAGAAACGGTTTTTGGTGCAGTCATCAGGAGTTAACGTTACGTAAGGCTGAGCAGAGGAATTCAATGTTATTTGCAATTGACGTAGCTGGATTCATCTTACATAAGTAAATAGACGTGTTTGGAAACTGTAAACACAGGTCGATCTGGATCCGGCTGCTGTGCTGCTGGAATGCTTGATGCCAGCAGTAGCTCCCCCCCCTGCCACTCGTTCTGGCTGCTGGGCTGCTCTAGGCCAAGGCAGGCGCTGGGGCAGCTGACTGGTGGACTTGACAGTGGGAGTGATGTGTGTTAAAATTAGCTTGCTGGGGGGAAGGAGGAGGGTTGGCTTCAACTGCCATGCCCTGTAATCAATTCTCTTGTTCAGTTCACTTCATAGCTACACAAATGCTTGTGTGGCACAGGGAAGGGGCTGGGATAGGACTGGGAATGCATAGGGACACACAGGAATAAAGAACTGCTTTTTACAGAAGCCACGTCAGCTTTTGGTGGCTTTACAGTTTTTAGAAAACATGACCACGTTCTCACCTAGAGTGAGACTTCTATAGAAACCAAACATTCACACTAGGGAAAACAATGTGGCCTGTTTGTGTTAGGACTTCTTTTTTTAATGTACTAAGATTGAAATCGATTCACTAATTAAGAACACTTTTCTGCTAGGGCAGTATCTTTTGACAAAGCCATTTTGTCTTCCAATTGTTTGTGCATTTGCATCAAATAAATGTTGAGACTGATACATATTTGGTTACCTCTTCAGTCACTTTTCACTGTGCTAGTCTGTCAGCCTCTGCTGTAATTCTGCTTCCCAGCTGCTCACAATATCAGTTAACAAATGGTAAACTCTAGTAAATTATAGAACAACTAAATCCACATTCATAGATGTGACAGTAATATTTTTGAAAATTATCAGGCTACCTCATGTCTTTTCCTGGAGGTCTCTGTTTGGGTCTGTCTCCGACTTTTGCTTTTCCTTTTAAAATAACCATAGTAAAGTATTTTGCTCCTCCAATTTACTAGTACACGTAGAACATCAAATCCAGCTTAACGAGCCTTTGCTGGGAGACTGACTGTACATTGACAGGGTATCTTTAAAGCTAACATGTGGAAGCTACATAATCATTTATCTTATACCATTTTATAAAAATTTCAGACTGCTGGAGAATATGACTCTGAATCCTTCAATCTAAATTAAAACCAGGAAAAAAAAAAAGGCAATTTAAAACATATTTGGCTACTTTACTATTTAAACAGTTTCTCTTGAAAATAACTTCATGTTTGCAAATAATTTATTATTCCTTTGTTAGGAAATTTCTGTTACAGATTAAATGAACTCAAACTAATCCTATGGGCTCCTCTGCTACATGTTGTTATAGAAACAGCAGTTTCAAAATGAAAGTTGAGTTGGAACATCAACTCTGGATGTTATAACTAAAATCTTTTCTAGTTGCATATATGGCATTTTCATTTGTAATGTGAAGTGCATCCTTTACATGTAATTGAAAGATACTTTCTGCAAAGTAATGACATCATCTGGATTTATGAGAAACTCTGGAAAATATATACACTGATAGCCTTATTTCCCATTCCCTTTGAATCGAGACTTGAGGAAGCCATTAACACCAGCAAAGTCATTACTTCAACTTCAGATGACTTCACTGCTGTTGAGTAACAATGCTTCTGCAGTTCCTATTATGCAAGTGCTCCTATTATTGTTTCAGCTAAATGTGATTATAACATATTATATTGCACAACTAAGTAGCAAAGGAGAAATTATATTTTCTGTAGCAAACAAAATTTGCTGGAATCTAATTTGAACAAGAAATATTCCTTATGGGCCAGCTCCTGAAATTTTTTCAGCTTTTCTTTAGTTTGAAATGAATACTAAATGCCTTTTCTACTCTTGATAGCTCAGCAAATTGGTGTGTGTGCCAGCAGCTCACATTGGTTACTCAGTATTAGGAATACACGTCCTATTGTGTCCTGGTCATAGAATATAGTAGAGAAATTAATTGATGAAAGATTAAATTAAAAGATAAAAGGAGGAAAGATTCATAGCTGATATGGTGAATTCTGTCTTGTATATTAATGTGTTTGAAGGCTGTAATTTTAAATTTAACCATATTTTCCTGCTTGCCTGAACAAATCCAGTGGAAGTTGTTAATGTTACAGCAGGAACCAACACAAGAACAGATTACAGTTTGTTTCCAGTGTTGTGTTTTTTGTACTAAAAGCATTAAGGATGTTTGTTAAATGTGATTTGGTTTGTTTAATCTTAAAATAGATACACTGAACTGGATCTTAGGTTATTCAGTATTTTTCTTAAGAACTGTAATTTGTTTTGATGTCTTAAAGTGGTATTTATAACCAGTGCTCTCCAGTGTGCCAGGATTGGCTTAGCAGGAAATGTTGCACCTCAGCAGTAAAATTTGTTTGTTTGTTTGGTTGGTTTTGCTTGGTTTTTTTTTTTTGCTTGTTTTTGTTTTATTATTAGCTTAAAAGATGAGCTTTCGTGGGAAGTATTATAAGGCTGACATTTTTTTGGTTTGGGAGACAAGTAGAGAGGAAGGCTTGTGTTTATATTCTATCAAAAAAACCCCAATCCTACCATTTTCCCTTTTAGTCTTTCCCATCTTAAAAAAGTATTTTGCATATAGGACACAATAATGGCTCTGGCTTCTCCAAAGAATCATTTAAGTTTGACATTCAACTCAGTTTTTCCTGTTCCAGTGCACTGATTATTCTGTTTTTTACAATAGTTGTAGCAGAGTTTGTTCAGTAGGTTATAGGACTGCAAAAGGTGAAGCATTATAACAGGATACCTTAAGACACTTCTTTTTGTTGGTTTGGGGTGTTGGGTTTTTTTGGTTAGGCTTTTTGTTTGGTCATTTTTATTGGTTTTTTTTTCTTGTTAAGTGGAACTGGGCATGTAATGTAATTCACCCGAGCTTGGTAAATTCATCAGCCCATTACTGTAATGGCATCTTGTATCACTCCGAAAATATTCAAGCATCAGATATAGATTGCTGCTTGAGGATTTATCTCCTTTGAATAATACCGTAGTTGTGGGATAAAACCTGCAGCAAATATCATTAAATAAACTTGTGTGTATGGTATGCTTGAAGTTCTTACCTGTCAAATGTTAATCTATTTGATTTAATTTTTTTGCTGGTATCTATGGTTACCTGAGTTAATGGGATATAGAGCACTTATGGATGAATTACTTCATCTCCTATTTTTAGACAGAAGAATTTAAATGAGCATATCCATCAGATATGCTACAAGCAGCTGTTGGTATTTCAAATGGTTACTTCAGTAATGCATTTTAAATCTGGAGAATGTTCTGTAATTTTTTTTGTTTTGTATCAGAACTAAGCTTATTCCCATAGGATCCTATGTGTAAACTTTATTTCTGTAGGTGTGTATTTGACATCTTTAGCAGATGTTTGACATTTGGTTGAATTGTGTATAAAGGAGCATGGTTAACCTGTCCCCACTGCATTTTGAGGAGTGTCCTGAGGCCACCTTTGTAGTCATATTCACTGTCCATCCAGGCGGGAGGCATTTGAACACAACTCTGGCTGTGGTTGTTGGCTTCCTTCCAGCCCCGGGGTGCTCTCGTGCCGGGACAGCTAGTGTGACAGGATTGTGCTGCATGGCCTGGGGTGCCTGGGCAGCCCCCCATCTTGCCAGGCTCCAGGGCCCACAGCTGAAAGGTGCTGCCCCAAATTTGGGGTCACATTGTTCTCCTGGGTATGCCAGAGCTCCTCTTAAGAGCAAGATTTGTCATAAGGTGTGTATTTGACATCTTTAGCAGATGTTTGACATTTGGTTGAATTGTGTATAAAGGAGCATGGTTAACCTGTCCCCACTGCATTTTGAGGAGTGTCCTGAGGCCACCTTTGTAGTCATATTCACTGTCCATCCAGGCGGGAGGCATTTGAACACAACTCTGGCTGTGGTTGTTGGCTTCCTTCCAGCCCCGGGGTGCTCTCGTGCCGGGACAGCTAGTGTGGCAGGATTGTGCTGCATGGCCTGGGGTGCCTGGGCAGCCCCCCATCTTGCCAGGCTCCAGGGCCCACAGCTGAAAGGTGCTGCCCCAAATTTGGGGTCACATTGTTCTCCTGGGTATGCCAGAGCTCCTCTTAAGAGCAAGATTTGTCATAGACCATTGCTTGTTCCCTCAGGTTGAGTTCTGTATGTGAATATATTGCCAGGTTTTCCGCATTTACTTTTGTAAATAAAGCAGTGGTAATGATTTTAATTTGTTCATCATGTGAGGAGCAGCAGTGTGACCAGTGTGTTCTGGATTATTTTTTTTTCTGTTGTGTTTTATCAGGCATTTGCTAAAATCTTTCAGTATTTTACACGAGTGGAAAAAAAAAAATAATAATTTTCACTCAGTTGGGGGAAAGAGAAAGAGTTTTGTTTTTCTAGTGTAGTAATGCCATACCAGAGAAACTAGAGACTATGAAAATACCACTCTATCTAGTCTAGATGATAAAAATCTATTTAAATATGTTCCTGAATAGAAGGGGAAACCTGTTCTGTTTCAGATTGTGCTGCTGTGTAATCTGAGAGCCTTTCTAACATTAGCTAAGAAATGTGATAGACTTGGGATGATTTACTTCTCGGATATATTTTTAATTGTTTCTATGTAGCTCTCGCTAAGTAAGGCAAAACAAAATGTCTATTTTGAAATGACAAGCATTCATTTAAAACATTTTGTATTAGAACAAAATGCTTTTTAATGTTGGAGACTTGTTCTACCAGAACTGTAAGGGTCACTGTTACAAATGCTTCTTTAAATGTGGACTAGATAAGTTTCTTTTTCAATTTCCTGTCACTATAGTGGTAGTCCTGAATGTCCTGATTCACTAAGATGAACACAAAATAGATACAAGGTTAGAATACACTGCATAAACGACGGCCCACAGAAGGACAGCAGGAGACCTAAATAGCTTTAACACTGTGGTCCAGCTGAAGGGTTCAGAGAAAAGGAGCTGCTTGCTCTTATGATTCACTAAAGGACTCTGGAGAAGAATGAGCTGTGTGACATGAGGTGGTGAAGGCAGAGAGGGGAAGAACAGAAAGTACATTCTGTAATTCAGAACTAAACTGCCGTAATTGTGCTTCATTCCCTTATTTTTCGTACTTTATGCCATTTTAATAGTTTTTGTTAACTAAATATTTTTGTTAACTTTTTTTTTTTTAATTAATCTGGATTAGATAAGAACCCAAATGTGTTAACTAAATATTTTTGTTAACTTTTTTTTAAATTAATCTGGATTAGATAAGAACCCAAATAACACCTCCCTTATACTGCCATTAGCCATAAGATGATGCCAGTGTGGAGCTGAAGCAATAACTCATTCCCACAATTTGTCGTTCCTAGGAAACCAGGATTCGAGCTGTGGATAAGGACTCCAAGAGGAGAACTAATAATTTCACTGTTATCAACCTCGTGTCTGGAGAGGCTGTGATGCAACTTTTTGGTACTGACAGTAGGGAAGAACTTCATAAGTGGATGGAAGCTTTCTGGCAGCACTTTTTTGATCTGAGTAAGTAAGCAGGCAGCACTGGCAGCATGCCCTCCAAACGGGGAGTTACGCAACAGCAAACGGATCTCTGAACAATTTGAATTGGAATTGCCTCATAAGCCTTTGTTTGCAATGATGAGAGGAAAAATGTTCTTTGGGGTAGTATTGGGTGGTGGTCTAAGCCACTGGAAGGGAAATATTTGACTAAACCAAAGTCGTCATGTTCAGCCTGTTTTTTTGCAGGAAGCCAGAAGCAGAGCATGTCCATCAGTCTCAAAAGAACTTGGTCTCTTTTAGCAGTGTTCTAGATAATCTTTTTAAGGGCTGCTAAATTCTCACCACCTCTTCCTCTGCTGCAGCAGGAAGAGTCCACTTCTGCCTGGGCATCCTACCAGTGGTGTGTTGGTTTTGTGGGATTCTGCAAGTATGAAACCTTTGGGTATGGAAGCTTCAATGGGAAGTGGGGAGAATGATGGATTCACTGAGGTCTTGGCTGGGATGCAGATGGAGTCAACCTTTGCCAGGAGTTGCATGTTTTAGGATTTCCTTGCTCAACAGTGTCATGGATGAATTTAATAGCAATTTTTTGCAATAGGGATTCCTGGATTCTCTCGGTAATTCTCTGGTTTTGGTACCTCTTGCCACACAGGAATACGCTCACCTAGCCACTCTCCAATCCCGTCATGCAAATACACACAGCTTACTTGAACCTGGTAAAAGCTGTCCCTGAGGCTGTGTAACAGGCGATATACACAAGGTGATGAACTGATACCCCAATTCTTTGGCTAGCCTCTGGAAAAACACTTATTCTTACATGAGAGAAAAAACTCATTATTGGTGTGAAATGGTATTGAAGTAGTATTATACTGTGCTGCTTTCTCAACACCAAATATTTATTAGTAGAACTATATAGATTAATTTGTCTTAATCTTTTTTCTCTGCTATAGTAGTTTGATGCACAGGTTTATTAAGAGTAGAGAACAACTGTCGGTTGTTATGCTGTCATTGTCAATTATAGTTGGTTCCTGATAGTAATTTTTATCAGGTCAGAAAGCAGAACCATGTCAGTTAATGAAAGATCAGTCTTTAGTGAGAGTCCACACCAATAAAATCAGTTGTGGAAACCCAGTATTGTAGTTTGTGTTTCTAGTCCTTTCTAGTTCTGATTTACAATGAGAAAAGGCTCTATCAATTAAAGAAACACACCAAGCAAAAACTAGGGCATTGTCTTTAAATTAGCCATAGAGTGGGGTAAAAGAGCTACTTCTTATTCATTATAGATAGAATACCCACAGATTTTTTGAGATATTTTTTCCTTAGGTTCAGAAAAAATGGGTCACTTGGCATTTAAATGCCTTTTTTCTTCCCTGGTTCTAAAATTCTCTTAAAATTAATGTGCTCAGAAAACTTGGAGTGATTGGTATGAACAAAGTAATTTTACTGTGTCTTGTTTTCCTTAAGGTCAAAATCTATTAATAGAAAGAGGTTTCCTTGTCTGATTAAAGGCAAGTTATCCTCTATTAAAGACAGAATGTTCCTTTACTATAACATTGTAACACAGTTGTATAACACCCAGCTTGCAGGCTGTCAGAGGTTGACCCTGGTAACTTCATGAAGCTTCCCTGACCTTTAATATACACTTCTAGGTTTGGTGGGTTTTTTCCTGATTAATTTATACTGGTTTTGGGGATTTGAAGGCAAATTATAATATTTAACCTTCGTGGTATAACAGCACTGCTGGAATACTTAAATTAAAGGAGTAGTTTATGACCTTTGTGCTAAGAGAATGAATACAGAGTTGAAAATACAAACTGCATCCTGAGGATTGCTGCTAAACAAGAGTAAACACTTACTGTTTAGCATTGCTTTGGAGATAGTTTCCTAACACAACCTAATAACTTCATTTTTTTTTTTTTCAAGCTGAAGCATTTAAGTTCCAGTCATTGTTCTCTTTTCTCTCTCAGGCCAGTGGAAACATTGTTGTGAAGAACTTATGAAAATTGAGATTATGTCACCACGGAAACCACCTTTGTTCCTGACAAAAGAAGCGACCTCTGTCTACCATGATATGAGTAAGTGGGATTTGTCTTTTCAAGTTGCACAGTAACAGAAACAACATCATCTGTTTCAGATGGCTTCTGGTGTTGATGTTGAAACACAGAGTTTTTCAAGGGCAATTCACACAATGAAAGAGCAACATAATTGCATACCAAGGAGTTAATATTAAATCTGAATTTGTAACAGCACAAGTAAGGAATACGGTTTTATACCTTCAGCCAAAATCACGGAATTGTCAGAGTTGGAAGGGGCCTCTAGAGATCATCTAGTCCAACTCCCCTGCTAAGGCAGGGGAATATCTGCAATCTGAACTGTAACTAGGGAGACCTGAACACATTCAAAAAAGCTGTCACTAGAAATAAACACTCATGGTAAGAGTAGTATAAAGCTCGGGAAATGTAAAGGTAAAATAATCCAGTCTGCAACCCAATTATGTCTTTAGCTAGTTGCATGAAATTAATTTGCTATTCTTAAAGCTATTTAAAGGTTTACCTAACAGAACTTACCTAATTGTTTGGTCTTGGCAAAGATGTTGAAAAATATGCTTGGAAAATCTAACTAGCATGTATTTGAGATGTGTATTTTTACAGAGCAAAATGGTATGCAGCAGGATTATTTTAATGGTTTCATTAGAGAAGTAATATTTACAGACTAGAAAAAGTAGGTCACTTTGTTTTAACGGATCTGATGCAGCATTGGCTGAGAAACACTGTTCATCTCTCAATGCCTGACTGCTTGCTGCTTGAGCCTGGAACTGTGAAGATGCTGAAAATGCCATGTGGGTCACTGAGTTACTGTGCCTCAGAACCCTGAGCAGTCAAGAAGGTCCCATCTAAGCTATGAATGCAGAGCAGAAAGGCAGTAAATAAACTATTTTGAAGTTTTAGGAAGGTAACAGGGTAGCATAATTCTACTGTAGTCAAGTACGCCAGTGAGGAGCCAAACACAAACTCTTTTTCACTCTTAAAATACCAGGGTTTTTTCCTGCTTCTTCATAGTATTTATAGGTAAAATGTGTTGAAAATCATTAACGTGTGGCCTGCAAGAGAAAAGGTATTGCTGCTGTTTGAGGCTAGTATTGCTGTAGTACACATAGAAGACTCAATAGAAGGGATAAAAAAATGGGGCGAAACAGTCTTAAAGCACACAATTTAAAATGGCATATGTGAAGATGTCCCATTTTCTGCAGACTGGAAGCACAAAAATACTTAGCTGTAGACTTTTTCATGGGCCTTCTGTGAAAATAAATTTTCAAAGGACTTTACAGCAAAATATATTTAATACCTAATACATACAATTCTTTGAGTAATACATTATTTTTTCTCCTTTTACTTGGAAAGAACTGTCAGTGTCTAACCTGTTGCTGTCACAAAAACAGTTCCCTCCTGTCATCTCAGTTCTCCCTCTGCAAGCATGTGTAATCTTTTCTGTTTCATTCATTAATACTCTTAATAGGAAGTCAGACTTCACAAGACATAGTTAATACAGTTTTGTGTTCTGAACAGAAATAATGAAATAGGTAGCAGTAAAATTATTGGCAGTATTTCAATCCGAGTTAACTGCTGTCCCTTAAAATTACAGGCATTGATTCTCCAGTGAAACATGAAGGCTTAGCTGATATCATACAAAGAAAAATTGAGGAGAATGATGGTGAGTTCCTGCTTGGCCAGCAAAAAGAGTCTGCATCTTGCCTATGGGCTTCACTCTTTGATGGATCTCATGAGATGGTTGTTCAGAAAAACATGCATCTGGGCCCAAAAAGAGACCCTTCAAGTCCTAATGATAGCAGAGGAAAGAAAAGAAGAGCTCCACCTCCACCCCCCGATAAGTCACCATACGATGCAAAAGCACAGGCAAACACAGAGCAATTGGGCAAGGAAAACTGGGAGAAGTCTGGCTGCACATCTGCCTTTGGTTCTTCCTTGGATGCCAAGTTATCTACGAAAACGCAGCAGTTGCAGACACCTATTGCTGCTACTCGCAACATTGGTTCTTGTAGGAAAATCAGTTTAGATGGCCATGGGAATCCCATCTCAGTGGCGAACGAGACTGAGTCTGAAACCAAACCAGTACCAGCTCCTAGACAGAAATGCATCACAGACAGGCTTAGACCCTAGATCATGGTTGCAGCCACAGACATCAGAACTAGCTAAGAAGAGTTCCTCGAACTGTAAATTTCTCGGCCTTCTACTATAACTCTTGAGTAAAAATAGATTTTAGCATGTAGCTCCTAAGTATTGAGGCTGAAGTTTTTTACTTTTAGCCAGGGCATTATTAGTAACTGTGGTCTCAGCTGTCCATGTTATTGCTAACATCTGAGTAATTGCACTGATAACAGGGAGTGTGATCTCAGTGTCTGAAATAAGGGTGCTGCTTCTGGAAAGAGAGCTTCAGTACTTTCCCCCTGAAAAACCAGCAGTGTCCAGGGTGACTCAGTGTCTCTGGAGCAGGGGTGCCTTCTACCAGTCCCTCTGCTTAGCCCATCTGCAGCTCCTCAGACTAGTTCAAGTGGGAGTTTCATATATATTCAGCACAGATCTTGCAAAGCTTATTTTCTTGGTCTCACCCAAAATATTCTTATTTCTCCCTCACTGTTTAGGAACTATTGCTGCTAAAATAAGGTGCTGTGGAAAGTTCTTACGCTCTTCTGAATGGCTCTGAAACTCCCTACGAATGTCTGAAGCAGTTCTATCAATTCAGGGTGGAATCTCCTAAGTTCTTGCTGGTGCACGTGCAGTCTGAACGGAGCAGGTTCATCTCTGTATGAGCCAGGATGTGAGCCATCCCTGCTGCTTATTTCAGGCTCACAGCAGCATTTAAAAGCAGTAGTGTGTATGAACACCTACTCAGGATTTAATTGTTCTGTCCAACAGGACTCTGTAGCAGAGCTCCTTCGTGGAGCCTCTCAGCTGTTCCTGCTAAGTGGCTGGTTTGTAAACATGGCAGCATTACTGGTAAACAAACTGGGCTTTTCCACCACTCGTTCTGTCCGAAATAGCAGAGAATTAGTACTTCAGGTGAGATTACTGAACTTTGATATTCTTCCATCAGGCTGTTCACCATTTTTGTAAGCAGCATAGGTTCCTGTGGTGCCTGCAAAACATCTGTTGCATATGGAAAAGATTCTGTTCTCCTGGATCCACAACCTAAATATCTGACCCTTTCCTTGGCTGATGCATTTATCTCAAATTCTAGAATTTATCCAAGAACAAAGGTCTGCTTTGCAGATCTCCCTCTAGAGCCTTGGTATTCCAGCCTGTGTAGAGAGACTCATCAGCAACTGTATACATACAGTTTGTTATTTTTTTTTTCCTAAAGTGTGGATGGCTTTGGGAGCTTTAGCATTTCCCCAGAAGACATTGTGTGCATGGTTGGTTTGTTTTATCTGTTTGTCTTCTGCTAAGCTCTAAGTATCTGCTGAATTCCCTCAGTAGTTCATTGGCTATTTGGGATGGGGCTTGAGAGGCAGGTTTCACTTACAAATCCTGTTGCAGGATTAGAGCCCTTCGTTTCTACAATGTCCTTATTCATTCTTCTTTTAATCACATTCCATTTTCCCCCTGAAACAACCATAATCATTCTCACAATAAATCATGCTGTTACTTAAGTGGATGGTTTGTGAACGGTTTATAAATAGGAACAGAAAAACTGAAGAATAACTACATGATTATGTAAATTAGACACAGTCGACTAAGTGGACTGTGCAACTGAACAAGAAATGGGAAGAATAAAGGGGGGTGGAAATCTTATTTTCCAAAATGCAGCTGCAGTGTCTTTAGCTTTAAATCTAGCCTTAAATGTTACTGTGTTGTGGAAAAAGATAATAGCTTTTGCTTCTTGGTATCCTCCTTCCTTTTAGTTGTTATATTTCAAGATAAATCTCATAAATATATAAGGCAAGAAGGCACCATAATGAGGATTTATTTTTAAATTCAACAGGCCATTGAATTTTAACGAGCAGTTTCTCTATTAAATTCAGCGACTTTGTTTTGAACTGAACATACATATTTTAGGAAGGCATTTAATATTAATTTAAAGTCTTCAAGTGATGAGAATTCACTCATACCTCCTGTTGCAATAGTTAATTACCCCAGGTACATTTTTCACTTGATTTTCTATTTGCATTTCTAGCTTCACCTTAAGTTATTTTGGTCTTTTTATGCATTTGATTGCTTATATTGATCTCTGTAGTATCAGCTTTTCTAATTGCTTGTATGTAGTTATAAATCATGATTATGTCCCTTCAAACCTTTTCTCTGATGAGATGTACTGAATTCTTTAACTTTCTTGTGGCAATGAGTGTTACCTGAGACTAATCTTCACATTCTTCTCTGTATTTCTCATGTATTGAAATATGCTTAGGTGTGACATCTGAATTAGATGCCACATGTCAATAGTGATCCATCAGGACTATAGAGAGACAGAACGTGATCCTCTTACTCTGATGAATATCTCCTTCCCCTCTTTCCTCAAAAAGTGTATTATCCTTTTTTTGTGGAAGCATTGCCTTGGATGCTGACTTCTATGGCTCAAGTCCTCTTTAGAGTCTTCTTCAAGAATGCAGTACATCTTCCTCTTATTATCCTACCTTATTTTTTCCTAGAAACATACACTGTGTTTTACCAGCATTAAAATACTGCTCATGAAGTAATCCAGATTGCTCTGTGTAAGTGACTTGTCCTCATTCTTTACTACTCCAGCAGTCTGCATGTCCTTTGCAAATTTATTGCAAGTGATTTTTTCAGTTTCTTCCAGATCATTGATTTTTAAAATTGAATGCAAGGCAAGGTTTGTAGAGAGAGGTGATAGGTTTTTATTACATCAGTGACACGGGTAAGGGGGGTGGGGAAAAGCAAACACAGGCCATTGAGTTCATGTCCCTTTTTTTTCCAGACCCTTAAAAAAATTCAGATTCCTGCTGATTCCCTATTAACGCTGCATTCTGAAATTAATTTCCTCTCATTGACATAGCATTATATATTGATTTTATACAGTACTGATATGGTAGAGAAAATGACATATTCATCTTGTTTTCTGGGAGTGACTTAGGGATCTTAAGGGCAACACCTTGGTGCAGGTGTCTTTGCAAGCCAAGCTTGCTATGTGAAAGAGTGAAGTGCAACCTGTTGTTCAAGACCAATTCACCATGAATCTGTTGATCCTGAACAGATCTTGAATGGATTCTGTCAATCTGTTGATTGACATTTTATATCTATCCTTAAATTAGACCCCTATGAGCCAGTTCACTATATTGTGCTGATCACCACTGAAGAAACTAGGCCATTAATTACCCTGATCATACTACTTTGGAGCAACAGTGTTGTTCTTATGGTCCTGTGGAATTTCATGGCAGTGCTGAGACTTGTTTACCCAACTGCATATTTAGTCTCCTACAGCTGGAAAGGCTTCTGCTACCAAATGGGGCTTCTGTTATTTTAAATAACCACTATATAATCCCCATTATGATGCATCAGTTGATTTCAGGTTTTAGTATTTAATGTTACTTAGTCTTTTAGTTGTGTCCCCCCCTTCTTTATTGCTGTTTATTATTGCCTTTGCCTCTTCTGTTAAGCAAGTTGATTTAACTCATAAAAACTGCAGACTACAAGCAAATGTTGATCTTGGCTACACAGTAAAGTCAGCTGTAGAAAATGCATTTGTACTCCGGTTTTGTCTACACGGGAGAACATAAATATTAGTAAAAAAACCAGCACAATTTTAGGAGTATAATTAGAAGATACATCTGTGAGGAAAACTGACCTGTTTTTTGGCTTTTCCATATCGTGACAAATAGTAATACTTTATTACTAATACTGGTCCCTCACTATTGCATAGGCTTGCTCAGAAATTAGAGCTCTTCTTTTGATTTTTACCCTTCAGGTTTTCCTGACTATAATTGAGGATGAAGTAAGACCAACAAATTGCTTGTACCCAGGCAGTGTAATGGGAAGAAGCCAGCTCTCTCGTGGTGTGGTGCCATTTTAGGCTCTGCACTGACTCACTCCCCAGCCTGAGTAAGGGGGAGCCTGGAGGCAGAGGTGGAAGGCAGGCAGGTACTGATAGGACATGGTGGAAACTGTTTAACTGCTGCCTGTGGGCACTAGCAGAGAATGTACCCACCAGGGTAGCTGCATTCGGTCAGCAGGGTGCTTTGATTGCATGACTCAAAACACCAGTGATCAAAAACCACAAGTTGTTTGATTAGCATCTGTAAGCAATGCCAACATGGGAAATATTTCAGCAAGGCACAGGTGATATCAGCCAGCCTGCTGCTAGGATGGGGCTAGGAAGACAGCAGAGGCCTGTGGCTTCTCCCAGGCCTAGTGTCCATAGCTCCCTGTTCACACTTGTGTGGCCAAGTCTGGCTGCAGACTCTATGGAAAACTGTGTTCAGACACTGCACCCAGAATGGGCAGCTCAAACTACCCAGTGCAGCATGGAGAAGACAATGGTGGCATCTGCTACTGCTGAACTACACGTGGTAATTCTCTATAGGTACTTTTCTAAGTAATATGTCAGGCCCACTCTGGAAGTGGTACCTGCTTGTTTGCTGCTGGAATGAATTAGTTGTTGCTTAAAAGCCATGAAGTAGTGGGATTGCCACCTTGAAGTCAGGCAGAGGCAATAGTCAATATGACCACTACTTTTAAGGAAGTAAAACTTGAAAGTTAATTGCTAGTGCAAACTAGCTAGTGAAAACAAATGTCACAGAATATGAGCAACTTTTAAAGTATTGGCTGAACTTAGTAACTGTGTTATATCTGATGTCTTCAGCTGTTCACCTGGTCTTGGAATAGTAGACGGTACTTTTTGCAGTTTTAAAGACATTAGTTTAAAATGTTTACATTTTTACTAGTATTGTGTGTTTTTTTTTCCTATGGTTATTATATTCATAGTTACTTTTACAGTGGTTTGTACATATTTGAAAATACTGTATTAGTATTCAGAGTTGATTTGTAATTAATAAAGATTGCTTTGATAGAAGAATGCAGATTTAGACACTAATGTCTTATGAAATGTTAGAACAGAAAACGCTTTTGTTTTTTTGCTGTTAAAATATGTAAGTAAAATTAAAAACATTTCTAGAACTAACAGGTTTTGGTGTAATTTTCCTCATTCTAGCACTGCATTAAGCTTTACTCCAGTTTATAAACCGTGGGTGATGTCTTCTGTAGCATCAAAAGAACTTATGAGTCGCTGCTTTTCTACTGTGTCTGCAGAATCACAGAATACCAGGTTGGAAGGGACCTCAAAAATCATCTGGTCCAGCCTTTCCAGTATCCTTCCAGGCTCCTAGTGACAATATCACAACAGTATTGGTCTCAATTTTCCAAACTGAAGGGGGAAAAGAGACATTTGGCAGCTAGCGTTCATTGCTCAACTAGTTGTCCAGTAAGTCCAATATGTCTGTGAGTGAGTATGCAAAGTTAGAAATGTAATCTGAGATGCACCTTGTTTCTACAAATGTGCCTATGCATTTTGTTTTACATCTTTCAGTCTGCTTTGTAAGGTGACTGAAGAAAAAAAGCCACTAACATTACTCTTTTTTTTTTCTTTCCTGGGCAGTTTATGCTGAAGGGGAACTCCTGTTGGCCTCATGGGTTAGAGCTTGGGGTAGCCCTGATAATTTAAAGGTAACTGTGCCCCTCAACTAAAGTCTTCTTTTGACCCAATTATCATCAAAGAACTGTAGTAAATGTAGAGGGAATTGTTAGACATTTTAACTTTAGAATATTTGACTGATTTAAGAGTCCATGAGAAGAACCCAGTATGTAATTGATAACTGCAAAGCAAGCCAATGCAGCTGAATAATTTAATCAAAATCATGCTGTAGGTAAAGTTGCTTCAGTTTGCTTTAAGGGATCATATCAAAGCTGTGATGATCTCTTAATATAACTATTACCAAATGGTTATATTGTAATCTTTCCATATAGATACTACATATTCACAGAAAATCTGTTTGCAAGACATTAACATAAATTGTTTTTCAGGGAAGAAAACAATCTTTCAACATTTTTATGTCAAGATAGTTTTCTAAATGTTCTTTACCTCCCCAAAGGAAGAATATTTATGGCAACTGGTGAAGTATCTTTTATTTTGTTATTCTCTAAACTTCTTCTAAAATAAGTTACCAAAGAATGTAATTTATAATATATATTGTCTCACTTGAGGTTTTTTTGGGATATCATCCAGTGTCATCTGTGTTAGGTGATACAGGAATACTTGCAAAAGGACATTGTGCAGTCCATGGACAGCTTCTTCCTAGCGCATAGTAATTACAGGCTCCTCTATATGCAGATGTGGGAAGCATTTTATCCTGTCAAAGTTTCACTCCATGTCTTTGTCTTGATGTGAATTCACAGTGGCAGTTAAAAGTAAAAAAAAAAAAAAATATATTTTTAATTTGCTAAAATTTTGGCATTGCTGTTGCCTGGTAAAACTTGCAATTTGAGGATATGCCATGAGAGTTTTCTTTCCAGACTTTAAAATGTGTGTATTTTCTTTCGCTAAGGGGGAAAGTTTTTTTTTGGAAAGAGTCAGTAATAGTCCATCACCTTCCTTTTTTTGTCACTGGCTATAAAGGTGGTACTGAAATACAAATACCTTTGCTTCAGTTTTTTCAGCCTGAAGGCAAACAGTCCCAGTCTTTTCCATCTTTCTTTGCATTATATTTTCCATTTTCTAATTAGTGTCTGTTTCAAAATCCCACATGTATTTTGACAGTGTCTTTCTCGAGCTGGGTGCCCAGAGCTGAGAACACACTTCTAGCTCGAGGTACTCTTGATTTGCAAGGATATATGTTCATTTGCACTGTCTCCATTTTAGCTGCTCATTCTGCACTAGTAAGAAACAAAAAGGTTTCCATTGCTCTGTGGCTGGAGTGGTCTGTTTTTAAGGAAGGTGCACCTCAGGAAAGAAAAGAAGATCCTAGTGTTGTTATGGTGAGCTCAGTAGGTGACTTAGAGATATCTTAATAGCAGGAAAAACATTACAGATGCATAGCTGGCAAAAGTAAGCTGCTTCGTCCACACAACATTTGCTTTTCAGATGGCAGCAGCTGCTTTACTCCCTTTGGTTTTGAGAGATCATTACTATTTGGTCCCTCAGTTCTGTACACAAGGGTTGAGAGTTTTTGAAATAAGCTGAAAGCAGTTTAACTGACCCTCTCATGCTGTGGGTGCATCAGCTGGAGCCACAAGGGTCAAAGCACTGAGTTGCCAGATTCTTAGCCCTTGTATTTGGCTTGCAGGAAAATCCCAGCCCTGTGGCAACTTTTCCTTTCTTTCTCATTAATCCAGACTTACTGACTGAATGCAGAGGATGAGGCTGCCCTTCTTGCCAACCTGGCTTTATCTCACAACATGGGTGATTTGAAATGATGTGGGACAGAGTAGCTCTTCAAATGTGGAAGAATCTTCTCCAAGTTAGGAGAGTCTCACTTAAATTTTATTAAGTAAATAGAAAGCTTTTTATTAAGGACAAATCCTAATGCTATTCCCCATGCTGCCCCAGGTCAAACCAGATTTACTATACCATGTCTTAATATATCAGTAATTTTTATTATTTTAATGAGAGTTCATTTGTGTGTCTAATAATGCATCACATTTTACCTCACTAGAGAGTTTCTTAAATATCTGCTTGATCATTATCCTTCCATAAGGAATGCCCTGCTGTCTTGGGATTAACTCAGGTTTCTCCCAGCTCTTGCAATAGCCAGTTAAGCCTGCAGACCCATGCATACTTTTCCATTTAGCCATTAAAATAATATAATTCCTTGGCAAGTAATGTTAGTGATTTCCAAGCATTAATGCATAATCAGCTACTTACATTGTCATAAGGATAAACCAGAATGTATCGGTTTTCTGCTACTCCTACCCCTCACTAGAGTGATTATTACAAACTTCAGCAACAATTTTTTTACTTGCATTTTTCTATGTTTTCTTCAACAGGAGAAATTCTGTCTACCTACCTGCAAAAGAACCCCAGGAAACGTTAGGGCCAATTATTTAGTTAGGCTCCATCTGGAGCATCAGAGAGCTAAGGGCTTGCCCAGAAACAATTCTTACTTGAACTGCGGCATGTAGTTAGAAGTAAGTTCAGTTGGGCTCTTGCTTGTATGAAACAAACCAATACAAGGGCTGTGGCTTCTCAGCTCGTTGCCTGTAAATACAGGCAGTGGGGACAGTAGTGTCCATCAGACTTTCTGAGGCATTAGTCCTTAGTGGTGATGGATTTGGCAAAGCAGTGCAATGTTTCATCACCATGACCCAACTACCACCAACCTCACATGCCCTCCTGAACTGAGGGTGTGCAGGAATAGGGAAAAAGTTCAATTTCTCCCTGTTTCAAGAGAGATGATGCTAATAAATATATTTTCATGTAAGAGCAGGGCAGTTTTGAAAAGCTGACTCTATGAAGAGTTTCATGTGACCTACAGAAGCTCAATTAGGACATTTTTTTTTGCCAAGCTCTTTGACATTAACACTACCCTTCAGCTTAACTGGACAATTTTTTCAGGTTTTTATAGTGACATCATATTTGGAGATTATATTGTTTAGTCCACATACTTTGCTTTTGAAACCTCTTACAACAAAGAGTTTTGAACCTCTAAGCTCTCCTTCTTTTTCAGTGTCAGTGTAGGAATTAGTCTTATCTGGCAGGAACATATCTCAGCTGGCTCGCAAAGTGTGTGAGGTACAACTGCTGAAAGAAGGACGTGTGGCAGGCTGTGACTTGTCCATGGAGCAGAGCTTCAGACTGTCTCAGGTGAGCCACTGCGAGCACCCTTGTGCTGCTTAAGCAGCAGCAGCTATGCTGCTGAAAACCTTCCCTATAAGACCCTATGGACAAAGGAGCTGAAGAGAGATCAGAAAAGTCCTTTCTTCAGCACCTGAGTCAAGTTTCAGCAGCAATTCCACCATTTTCCATGACGCTGTATCCCCAACAAAGCACCAACATGCCTACTTAGATGCAACCTCCCCTGATGTCACCCTGGACAGAGGGCAGAGAGTGAAAGGACCAGCACCGTACCTGACTCCCAGCACCACTGCACACCAGCACAGTTCCTTGCTCTGCTACTTATCCCTCTCCAGCACAATCACAGCTGCTGCCTTCAGGAGAAAGTCTTACAGTGCTTTGTAATCATTAAGCCTTTCACTGCTCTCTGGGTTAATTATTTGTGCATGGGGGATGTTGGCCACAGAGGTTACATGTATGAAATTCCCGTGTCAGCCTTTACAGTGATACTAAGATATGATGGTGCTCAGGTTTGTTTGCCCTTTTAGCAGCATCCTGATCTGATCCTATATTCAAATTATACATGTAAGTTCTGTTTTTTATAAACTAAAGCTTAAAAGAACAAACAAATGAGCTTTTTCCAGGGATGACTCCTCTGTTGCAGCCCAGAGTTTCAAGGTGTGAGCCTCATGGAATGCTCCACAGAGCAGGGCTGCAGTTCAGCTCACAAAACCGGAGTCCCTTCTGGCACTCTCATTCACGCATTCTGTCAAACAACATTTCCTTTGATTTTTATCAAGATCTTCTTGACTGAGATCTTCAAAGCAATTAATTCAGTGCTCCATGATTGCAGATGTTGAATAATTGTTTGTTAGAGTATTTTCTTTCCCAGGCAAGAGATGTAAAATAGTCGCTCCCCTCAGTAAACAAGTTGTCAAATGTGATTAGTTAATGGACCTGTAATCATGCAGTAGCATAAAGGTAAGGATTTGGTAACTGCAATGTGAAAATGCATATTTAAATTAAAGCTATAGGGGAAGATTTTCCCATAGGAAATCTTGCTATCAATGCTGAAATAGACTACCATTCATAATGATTAACTATAGATCATTAATTAAAAAAAACAAGAGATTAGTCATCAAGCATTTCAAATTAAAGATGCATTGATTATTTGAGTTAGTTTCAGGCCTGACAGGGAGGTGAGGTTAGTGGCCAGGTCCCCATCCCTGAGCCAGCCTTTGCATGTAAACAAAACACAGAAGTAAAATTAAAGTCAGAAATTTACTGGCAAATATTAAGCTCCAAAAGCCTGAAAAGTGACCCGTTATGCCTGGTCACCAGCCCTGTAACTCTCCATACTGTTCTTGGTCAGACGTGTGTTAAGAAGCAGAAGTAGAGCACTCAGGTGCATCGGTTTGTGGAGGAAACAACTCATTTTTTGGAAAGTCCATGCTAAATTCCAAGCTAAATGCAGCCACAGTGAACGTGTATTATGGCTCAAAAAGCTAATTAGCTCATTTTCATGACTAAATAATAAATCTACTTTTCAGCCAGCCCTTTGGAACCAATCTCAGACAATCCTGCAGTGGCATTTGTGGAAAGCTGAAGCCCCATGCAAAGGAACCTTCGTAAGGTTGGGGTTCCCCCCCTCTCCTCACTTGGGAAATCTACATTCAGTACTATCACTTCCTAAAGAGTCTTCCTTGTCAGAAAAAACCCCAAAACAACAAGACTTTTTTTTTCTTAAAAAAAAAAAAAAAAAAAAGAAAAAAAAGAAAGAAGCTCTATCTGTTATAGAAACTTAATTCTCCATTTGGGAATTACAAGCAGTAATGCAATAATAATAGTTGTTGGTTTCCACACTCTAATTTCAAACTATTCCAGACAGCTGCCTTCTGCTTTCTGTACAATCTCTTAGCATTAGACTCGAATAAAAAAATGAAATTACTTTAAACTGTCTGTCAAATGTGACTATTCTTTTAAGATCATGTAGCTGTTACTTACATTATGTAATAGCAACTGGGGTAATTTAATTGCTAAGTCACGTATGAAAAACAAGACTTCAGCATGCAACCTTCAGGTAATTAACCACCTAACTACTATTAAAAATAAAACAATCAGGGCACATAATAGTGAGGCAAAGGACATGTCACA